GAGGGTTGCGATCCGTTGCCGGACACGGAAAAAAAAAAAAAAAAAAAAAAAAAAAAAAAAATTCATCAAGTAATGGTGTCACTCTAGAAGGCTGAAATGCTGCAGAGAGAGCCAGTGCTCCCTGGATCCACCCCAGCCTCACCTGAGGCTCCTCCCCAGAAGGAACCACACTTGCAGGTCTCACATGTTTCCTTACAGATCTTTTCTAGGAATACATGCATACAGACCTATAAAGAATCCTGAGGATTGTCTGGTGGGGATTTTCTCTTTCTTTTTTGTATATAAGTGGGATCATATTATACCTACTGTTCTACAACTCACTTCTATCGCCAATGTCTTGGGACTCTTGGCAAGTGAGGACGTGTGGATCATGCACAGGGTTGTTATGAGGCCCAAAGGAGCAAGGGCGTGTGAAGTACCCATCCCTCCTGTCCCTGCCAACACTGTATTACTGAGCCTGCACCATGTGCCCGGCACGAGCAAAGGGCCAGGGGTCCCACAGTGAACAGGGCCGATGGTGGGGGCCCAGGCCTCAGGGGGATTACAGTCTGAAAAGGAAGATAGTCAGCAGACAAACAAATGGGTGACTAAAACTGGTCTGGGCCACAATGGGGCAAGGGGGCTGCCATAACATCCTGGGCATTTGTCCATCTCATACTTCCTGATGAGCTCCTGGAGGCTGGGGCCTGGGTCTGAGTCACCTCTGGTCCCCAGTGCCCACATGGAGCAGGGGCTCAGTCAGTATTTGTCCAAAAAAGACTGGAAAAAGGGGAATTCCCGGGGCCGGCCTGGTGGCACACTGCTACAGTGCGCCGCTTGAGAAGCGTGGTGGCGCTCCAGCCGAGGGTTCGGATCCCACATACAGACCGGTTCCCGCTCACTGGCTGAGCGAGGCATGGGGGCAACGCCGAGGGTTGCGATCCCGTTGCCGGTCCCGGTCCGGTACGGGGGCGACACTGAGGGTTGCGATCCGTTGCCGGACACGAAAAAAGACAAAAAAAGGAAAAAAAAAAAAAAGGGAATTCCCTAATGCACAGTCAGGAGGCCTTAATCTGGGCACTTCACTTGGGTAGTTTACTAGTGCTCACTGGGTACTGGCTTCCTGACCTGTGGTGGGGACCAAAGCTGCCCTGCCCTCCTCATGAGCACCCAGAGGGACCTGGATATGGACCTGCTGTGGACATCAGGGGACCACTGTCATAAAGAAAGGTTCTTTTTTTTGGTGGCTGGTTGGAGAAAGGCTCTTAATTGTGAAGTAAACTGAATTGGGAAGCAAGAAAAATAAGCAACAAGTGTAATAACAGCTAATGTGTTCTGAACATGGCTGTGTCTAGCCATAGTGCTAACTGCCTTGTACGATTTTCTGATTCTATCCTCAGCACAGCCCTGGGATTCATGGTTATATTATCACCTCCATTTTACAGGGTTGCAAACCAGGTTCACAGAGGCTAACCATGGCCAAGGTCACATAGCAAACCCAAAATTAGAACCCAAACACAGGCCAGCTCTCCAGCACCAACATCCTTGACCACTGTGCACACTGCCTGCCCTCCGCTCTGTCCACCCAAATCCTTCTTGCCTCTTCCTGCTCTACTCAAGCCCACCTCCCCCAGGGAGGCTTCCTGACCACTCCTGTCCTCTCTGCCCTTCTTGGGCATTTACCCTTCTCCAAGCCCTTTTATGCCATCATTTCAGGGATAAATCAGAGAGGGCATTTTATAGATGTGGAGCAAATGTGCAGAGATAGGATGTGCTTTTTGCCCAAGATCATGCTGGGGGTCAGGGGTGGAGCCAGGTCTAGACCCCAGAGCTATTTCCATTTGTCTCCAGTAGGCCGTGGGTCCCTGAAGGCACAGATCTGGGCACTGTGTGGGCATTTAGTAAATACTTGTTAAGTGGATAAATAAATGCGGAGGGAGACATGTGTCCACCTGTGACCAGGCCAGGGCTGCCTCACAGGCTGTCTTTAGTCATTTTCTATTGTCTCTTCCCCATCCAGTGACAGCCCCAACATCAGGACCCCAGCACAGGTGGCACCCTTTTTAATCCTCATGGCAACCCTGTACTCAGATGGCAGAGGTTAAGAGCACTGATTCTGGAGTCACACTTCCTGGGTTCAGATCTTAGCTCTGCCGCACCCTAGCTGTTGTGATCTTGAGTAAGTTTCTTCATCTCCATGCTTCCAGTCTCCTCATCTTTAAAGCGGGGATAATTCAGACTGGCCAGTTATCTCAATTGGTTAGAGTGTGGTGCTGATAACATCATGATCCAGGGTTCGCCCTGTACCGGCCAGCTGCCAAAAAAACCAAACCAAAACAAAAAATAGAATGTGGATAATAACAGTATCTACCTCCTAGGGTTGTTGCAAGCGTTAAGTAAATTAATCCACACAAGGCATTTTTAGCAGTGCCCGCACAGTCAGAGCTGAGAGATGTTCACTAGTGTGCATGTCAGTGTCTGCCACGGAGAGGGAAACTGAGGCTCAGAAAGGTGTGGTGGCTTGGCCCGAGCGAGGCGGCACAGAGGGTGTGCAGCCTGGACCAGGAGGCGGCCTTCGAGGATGCAGAGCACACTCACGTGGGGTAGGGCAAGGGAGCAGCGGCTGCTGCACTCATAGGCCTCCTTGTGGCGTCCCAGCTCGTTGAGGGCACGTGCCTTGCGGAACAGTGCCCGGATGCTCTCACCGTCCAGCCCCAGCGCCTTCTCGCTGTCCTCCAGCGCTTTCTCGTACAGTCCCTGTGAGAGAGAAGCCGGCGGCCCACTGCTCAGTGCCTGTTACCCTCCCTCGCCCAGGCCTCCTGGCCCACCTAGGACTGAACAGCAGCCTCTGTTGCCTGCAGAGCTGGAGGAACTGGAGGCTGGGGTCGGGGATGGGCTCAAGAGGTCCAGCAGGGAAGGCAGGAAGTGCTCTGCTGTTCAGACTCCGATCAGGGCTGCAGGTGCTACAGCAATGAGCATGTCTACTTCCATAGCTGCCTCCAGTGCAGAACATCATGAGCTCACAGTAACAATGACACCTCTGAGAAGAGGCGGAACCTTGAAGGCAGCTCTGTGTACAGAACAGCATGAAGGGTTAACCTCTCAGGCATCTGGAGACTCACTTATCCAGAAGAGTCCACCCTGGACTGCAGAGGTGTTGCTGGATCCTCTGGAGAGCTTACAGCAGAGCCTCCCACAGGATCTGATAAATGACTGAGTCCGGGCAAGCAGGACAGGGGAGAGGAGGAGGAGGAAGAGACTGGAAGTCTGGAGAGATACAGTGAGGAGGTTGAGGGCGGGAGAGGCCAGGAGAGAGGAGCAGGAGAAGTCAGACTCCCAGATTCCCAGGGTATAACTTAATTTACCTGGGAAGGGGCTAGGACATCAGTATGTTTTCTGTTAACACTTTTCATTACGCATCAGTACTTTTATGAGCCCTCCAGGTGAGCCTGCAGTGCAGCTAGGATTGAGAGCCACAGAATAGGTTGTGCAATTCAGATAGGAGGAGGAGGGGGAGGCCAGCCCTGATCCTATAGGCTTACTGGGGTACAGGCCAGCTTCAGCTGGGCATCCAGGGGGACATGGGGACCAGGGCAGGGGTGGATGAGAGGAAGGCAGGGTGTGGGGCTCACCATGGTGAAGTAGCAGGCAGCCCTGTTGACATGCAGCTTGCAAAGCAGCTCCCGGGGCAGGGCCACCTGGTCAGAGGCAGCGTAGTCAGCCACATTCAGCCCCTCCATGTACTGCACAAGGGCCTGCTTATAGTCCTTCTCCCGGAACAAATCATTGCCTTCAGCAAACAGATTCTGCACCAGCTTGAGCAGAAAGGCCTGTCGAGGGCAGGGTGTATAGGGAACTCAGGGGTCTTCTTCATCCAGCCCCCTCCCTGGCACCAGCCCCCATGACCCTCTCCCCTGGACACCCCCGCCCTTCACCTTCACTCAGCCCAGAAGCTGACACTCACTTCATATTCTTCTTGCTTTAGGGGTAGTGTTGACCTAGAAGGAAAAGAGAGGGAAACAAACAAGGTCTGGCTGAGCCCAGGGGTCCCAGCCTCACAGAGACCCCAGGAGCCAGAGCTGCTGGCCAGAGGTCATGCCATGAGTAGGCTCCTCCAACTCAGACCTGAGACATCATCTTGTGGATTGGGGTGAGTGGACAGCAGTTTACTCCCTAAATCATCGCCAAGCCGGCCTCCTGTTTCTGATGGAAGGCCGTGCATTCTGCCCAGGTCCTGACAGCCAGGCTTTCCCAGGTGCAGATGCTGAGAAAGAGCAGACCAAGGGGGCCGGCCCGTGGTTCACTCGGGAGAGTGCGGTGCTGATAACACCAAGGCCACGGGTTCGGATCCCACATAGGGATGGCCGGTTGGCTCACTTGGGAGAGCGTGGTGCTGACAACACCAAGTCAAGGGTTGAGATCCCCTTACTGGTCATATTTTTTTTTAAAAAAAGAGCAGACCAACTCCAGCTCCAGACCTAGCTCCCGCCAGCCATCCTCTGCCTAAGAAATCAGCCCCCCCACAAGGAGGGCAGGCATTCCAAATCCTTTCTAAGTTACATGAGGGGGTGGGTGGAGAAGCCAAGGTTGGGCCTAGGAGGCCCCCAGGGCTGGAAAAGGGCAAAAAGAGGCAAATCAGACTCTGGCCAAGCCAGGACCGATGGAGGCCTAGCTGCAGCTCAACTCCAGGAGAGGGGACAGCACAGGGGCTCCTGTAGCAGGAATGGTGGGGACAGGAGTGGCAGGAAATGGCACGAGCACTGTCAAGAAATGAACGCCTAAACTGGGCCTTGGGAATGACCTCACCCTCACCCAGCCAAATCTGTGACTGCAGCCCACAGGAGGCACCAGGAGTCCCCCTCAGGCCTCCCTAGCTTGGCAGTGTCTGCCCTTCTCCTGTCCACTCCCACAAAACACACACGCCCCAGCCAATGCCAGGCACGCTCAGAGCTTGTCAACTCCTCCTGCCAGACTCAACAAATTACGTGGGGTCTGGGCTCCTTCTCGTCTCCGGTGGGGCTAAGTAAGATCAGCTCGGTATGGGAGAAAGCATCAGCCCAGGAGAACCGAGGCACACCTGTCAGCCTAAATGGCTGAGTTTGAAAGGAAGCTGTGGTTTGTCTCCTGATCCCTCATTTCACGGAGGGGGAAAACAGACAGTCAGAGTGGGGCAGAGACCTGCCCAAGGTCACACAGCAGGTCAGCATCAGAGGCAAGGAGCAAGAGTGGGGCTATGAAACCTGTACACCATTACCATCGTGTGCCTCTGAGGATCTATTTAGGAGAGATAAAAGAAAAAGGTTAGTAAAAATATTTTGCCTGAGGCTGGCTGTTTAACTTAGTTGGTTAGATTGCAGCCTTATAGGGCCGAGCCCGTGGCGCACTCCGGAGAGTGAGGTGCTGGGAGCGCAGCAGCGCTCCCGCCGCGGGTTCGGATCCTATATAGGGATGGCCAGTGCGCTCACAGAGCTCACTGGCTGAGCGTGGTGCGGCCGGTCTCAAAAAGGACCAAAAAAAAAAAAAGAATGCAGCCTTATAACACCAAGGTCACGGGTTCGGATCCCTGTACTGGCCAGCTGTGCAAAACAACAACAACAATAATAATTTTGCGTGTAAAGAAAAAAATGAAAACACAAACATGGCATGAGGGTGCTGGGAGGCATATAATAGAAAGAAACCTGGGGTTTGGATTCAGGCAGACCTGGGTTAAAATACTGTCACTCAATAGCTGTGTGACCTTAAGCAAGTTTCTTAATCTCTCTGAGCCTCTCCGAGCAGAAATAAGGCCACCTATTTTACTAGACTGTTGTAAAGATTAAAAAGATGCTGGATGTAAAAGACCCCGCATGGAGCCTGAGAGATAATAAGCGCTCAGTAAGTGAGGACTATTGATTTGTTAGAAGAGAATTAATGGGAGTGTATGTGCAAATGTAGAGGGTAAGGGTAGAATGACGTACTGCACAAGACTGAAGGGTAACCAGTGTCAGGGGGCATGCATGCTTGTGGAGTTCGAGGCCCCTGCCATGCCAGCCCCCTCCTAGCCCATCCCACCTTCCCACACCCCAATGCACACAGGGCCTGAACAGCAAAGACTTAGGGAGAAAGAAAAGGGAGAACTGGGGACTGTGTGGCTTTGGAAGGACCCGCCCCTGCCTGGCCTGCCCAGCCACATGCTTACTGAATAAACTGCAGCCCCTTCTCGATGTCCGCCTTCCGTTTCTGCCTCTCCATCAGTCTCTGGGGGAGAAAGCAAGTCCATCTGTCAGTCCGCAGGGCCCGGGTCTCTGTCCCCTCACCCCACTGTGTGGCCACGTAGGTGGGTGCTCTTTCACGCCTACTCTCACCCCCTTCCACAGGTGGGGAGGGGCCCCTGAGGACAATGACTTGTGTCAGGGTCTACGCAGACAATCTGACTCAGACCACACCACTGCCTCCATGCCCACATCCCACTGGACTCCGAGTTTGTGTGGGTGGTGCTCTCAGTGGCCAAGGAGCCACAAGGAGGCCACCTGCCCTTTCCCACACATGGCTTGGGCTACAATACTGCATGGGACACTCTCAAGTTCAAGGGAAAAACCTTGTTTTACCATCAAACTCACTAATCTGTGCTGCTGCCAGGGAGAAGTGACACAGAAAATGCAAAATGATGGCCAATGATTACAGTGACAATAGAGCACCACACACCTGACCACATACATCGCATAAGGATCTTGTTGACTCTTTCAACAGTGTTGTAGGCTGGGTGTCATTTCATCCTCATTTTACTAAGGAGGACACCGAAGCTTGGGGAGCCCACGTCATGAGCTGGCATGTGGCTGAGGCAGGATTTGAACCCAGGACACGCCTCCTTTCACCCCACCTGTGCATCGTTGGTAACCTCTGGTGATGGCTGCTCAGGGAGGATGCCAGGCAACAGATGGCCACAGTGCGTATATCTCATCTGTGCCCAGCCAGGACGTGAAGCCTGGCCCAAGGAAGGCCTCTGGACCTGGGGGCCATCCCAGCCCCAGCTTCCTCCCTCCCTCCACAGCCCACCAGCCATTGGCCAGTCCTCACCGTTCAGACCACAAGAGGCCCATGCTGGGCTGCCCTCAGGGAGCTTTCAGGCTGGCAGATAATCCAGTCCTTGTATTTATGAGGCATTGACACATGCCCACATCACATGCTTGCCCTCGAGGTCAGGGCTGTGGACTGAGACCTGGGTGTGAATCCCAGCGTTCACACTTTCTATGTGACTTTGGCTCTCCATCTCCTGAGGGGGAAAATGGGCTAATGGCAGCTGCTGCACACTGGCTGTCATGAGGGCTCAGGGGACAACATGTGCAGAGCACCTGGCACAGACAACAGTCAACAACTGTGGCAAAACATGTCATCCAACGCTGCTCCTCCCTCTTGCCCTGCCAGTGTTTCCTGGGACAGACACAACCACTTCGATCCTGTCCTTGTGCAGGAGGCCTGCAGTGATGGCTGTGGGCTGCTGGCCCTTGGCAAGCAGGCCTCTCAGCTGGTCTCTCCATCCTCATGCACCACTCCAGGCCCCCAGCCACAACAGGCCACCGGTGGTTTTCCTGCCTCCTGGCCTTTGTTCTTGCGGGTCCTTCCACCTAGGCAGCCAAGCTCCTCCCCGTCCTGTGAGTGAAATTCAATCCATGCTTCAAAGCCTGCCTCGTCCACCAAGTCTCTCCTGATCCCTTCAACTGGGATCATTCCCAAGTGCACTCATTCATCTGATGTTTACCAGGAGCCTGGGGAGCCACGACGGGTCAGACCCAGCCCTTGCCCTGGAAGAGCTGCTAATCCAGCAGGTGAGACAGGGTACACCAGGTACTGCATAGTGTGGCCTAGCACCAGTCGGGGAAGATGCAGGAGGGGAGAAGCCCCCTGCGGGCCTGACCACCGGAACCACAGGGCACGGCCATGGCCGATGGTCACCAAGCCCCGCTATTTTGACCTGGGTCACAAGCCAGCCTCCACTTTCTCCACTGCCTGGCCATGTCACCTATCCCCAGACTGGACCAGCCTCCTCCCTGCCCCCCAAAGACGGCATGGGGGTCGTTCACATCCACAGACCAGACCCTGTCCTTCCCCATCTAGAGCCTCTGATGACTCTCTTTACCTTTGACTGATCAAAATTCCTCCCACATCTATACTGGCTTCCACCATGAGGGAGCAATGGCCCTATTACCCCCTCAAAGCCCTGCTCAGCCCATGGTTCTCTCAGAAAACCACCGCAGTCAGAGAGAAATGTTTCCATGTCCGTCTTCCAGCCCTGAAGTCTGAGCGGACTTAACAGTTACAATCATTGACCACAACCACCCGAGCAGTAATTCCCAAAAAGTCTGAATCTGATGCCAAGGGATAAACGTTTCCTGCTCCAGGAGGTATGAATGTTCCTCACGCAGCCCGGCCATTTATCCACCTCTCTGACCTCCTTGACTGACTGGCTGTGTGACCCTAAGCAGGTTACTCTACCTCCTGGGCTGCAGTTTCCCTTTTTGTAAAACGAGGAAGGGAAACAGTGCCCGCTGGCAGGATTAACACATAGGAGGTCCTCATTCCAGGGCCTGGTCCAAAAACCTTAACAAACGATGGCTATTAGTAAGTACATCAGGGGCCAGCCTGTGGCTCACTCGGGAGAGTGTGGTGCTGATAACACCAAGGCCACAGGTTCGGATCCCATATAGGGATGGCCGGTTAGCTCACTGGGTGAGCGTGGTGCTGACAACACCAAGTCAAGGGTTAAGATCCCCTTACCGGTCATCTTTAAAAAAAAAAAAAAAAGTAAGTACATCAGAATTCCTATGCCGGACATTCAATTTGCTATATGCAGATGAGAAAGCTGGGGCTCCTGCCCCCACACACACAGATATCCCAACAGCTTGAGCCCAAACCAGACTTCTGTAGTAAACAGAGGCTGGGAAGAAGCACAGAGGGGAAGCTCCTTAAAGATGGCAACATTTGAACTGGGCTTTGGAGGGTAAATAGGGGTTGGTTTCTTGGTGTCAGGGAGGAGAGGCCTCCTGGAGGGCTACAGGTGATGGTTTAGGAAGTCACTGTCATCTCCCACATTTCATACCATCCAACTGATGACCCTGGGGGCTGGGCTGTGCTTCACCCACATTTCAGAGGTGAGGAATGTGAGGCTCAGAGAGGTCACCTGGTCCACAGTCAGCAAGAGGGGACAACCCGAACAACTGACTTTGGGTCAGAAAAGACACTGCTGCTGTCCGTCCTCAGAGGCACAGGAGAGGCAGAACCACTCAGCAAAATTGCTGTCACCTGAGCCTGTGTTTCTGTGACTGCTCACCCCCCAAAAAAGGCAGATGTCTCTGTAGTATGATATTGGGGAGGCTCCTGTACAAAAATATCATGCTTCTTCCAATTTCCTGTCCCCAGGGTCTATATATGGACCACTAGAGAGTCATTCTGTTGAGTGTAAAGGCCCCAGACCAGGGCTGCCAAATAGATTTCATCTTAACTAGAACAACGCCAGGCTTGTCGAGGCTGCCAGGGGCTGTCCCAAAGGAGGGGCTGGATTGAGAAGACTCCCTGGGCCCTGATGGTGCTTTAAAGAAGGATCGCACAGTGCGTGACGTCTGCCGTGAGGAAACATGGGGTGCCCAGGGATGCACACGTGCCCTTAGGCCTGGGGCTCACAGACACCCTCCCCCATGAGAGTATGACAACTGCTAAAAGTCACAGTGATACTAAGTAACGGCAAGTCAGAGGCTCAAGTCTGACTGGGACCCAGGATGTAGAGTGGGGCCTGGAGGGGCAGAGCCCAGGTAACAAGGAGAGGATGGGAGCTCTAGAGGAAGGGAACTGCCACACCCACCTTCCAGGTCCCCTCCTTCCAGAAGATTTTCTGACTCCCCCAACCACATGGCTGATTTAGTCTCCTCTGTGTCAAGGGCAAAGACAGACCCAGAACAGGAGAATTTCATTCAGTTCAACCAACATTTATGATTTTCCTACTTAGTGCTAGGCACTGTGCTGTGGGGCACGGGGGTAGATAGACAATGAACTGAGTAGAGTGAGTTGAGGGGGTGAATATGGTTTCCCCATTTTCTCCCAGCTCACAGAGGGTTACTGTCCTGTGGCCTATGTGGTTTCCTTCCTTCTAGACTGTGTGTTTTATACCTTTCCTGCTCCTCTATCCCAGGGCCTTGCACTTAGCAGGTACCCGGTAGTTTGCTTTCTGTGTCTGGGCATGATCAGTCAAAGCCAGATGCAGAGCCACACCATGCAGCCCTTGGAGTGATCTAAGCCACTCTTGTGGCTGGGATAGAGGGGCAGGGAAGGTATAAAGCACATGGCCTGGCAGAAAAAAAGCCACATAGGCCACAAAGACAGTAACCCTCTGTAAGCTGGGGGAAACCACATTCCTCCCCTCAACACACTCATTTGTTAAACACAAGTGAGCACTTTCAACCCTGATCTGGGTACAAAATCCCTGCCCCCAAAGCACTCACCATCTAGTAGGGAAACCAAACTCTAGGGACATAGTTACAATATGAGGAAACAGGAGCTTCACTAGAGGCATCCACCCACCCATTCATTCATTCAGGAAGTGAGCACTTAAGAAATACTCTACATGTTCTAGGCCTGCTGGGGATTTAGTAATTAACAAAGTTGACAAAGTTTCTCTTTTGAGCCTATGTTCTAGTGGAAGAGGCACAAAAAACAAATTAAATATATAATGTAATACAAAAAGGATACACACAAGGAAGAAAAAATGAGACACAGTGACAGGGTGTTATAAATATATAGGGTAGTCAGGGAGGGTCTCTTTGAAATCTGAATAGAGGTCTGTGCGGTGTGTTGGGGAAAAGTGTTCCAGGCAGAGGGAACAGTGAGTACAAAGTCCTAAGGTAGGCGCCTAATTGGTGTACTTGGAGAAGAGCAAGGAGGCTAGTGTGGATGAGGTGAAGTGGGCAGTAGGGAGAATGGTAAACGGGAAGGTCAGAGAGATTAGCAGGGAAGACGTACACAGAGGTTTTGTAAGTAGGGCAAGGGGCCACATGAGGTTCTGAACAAAAGGGCAGCTGTATATCTGGCTTTGCCCTACATGAAAATAAGTTCTCATTAAATAGCTGAGAATTATTTAAATCTCACTTCAATCCCATCAGGCTGGAAAATAGTACTTCAAGAGGCTAAGAAAATTGTTTAAGGTCACACAGTGAGCCTGGAACCTGGGTTCAAAGGAACTGGGGAGATAGGCATCAGGCAACCCAATA